AGTTGCCGCCATGTGATTGGCTGCTTAGAAATTAAGTGTTAACGAGCAGTTGGACAGGTGTACCTAATAAAGTGGCCGGTGAGTGTATGTTTGATCCTAGTTATTCCTGTTACAAAAATCCACAACAGAACGAAAATATTTAGGCAGAAACTGAACATCTGCAGGATGATGATGGGGATTTTTTAAAAATATGTCATATTAAATTAAACGTTCACAGGGTTTATACACACGCGTTGTACTTTACAAGACATAGTAGATTTTCCTAACAATCAACATATACCGAACCAAACCGAAAACCGTGACCACGAAACCGTGAACCGAACCGAATCGTGGATTTTGTGGACCGTTCCACCCCTAGTATATATATATATATATATATAGGTGAGTTTGCTGTAGAAGCCAGGAACTTACTTGGTATCGGGCGATGTCCTCCCTGTCAAGGATTTTGGTCACACGGATGTATCCAGTATGAGGGTCAACCACAAACACATGATAAGGGTACTGATTTGCTCCGATGCCCTCTAAGGAATAAGTAATTTTTTCCATCCCTGCATGGTCCGATCGGATCTGAAACAGAAGGGGACTCTGATTTAGTGAAGGAAACCATCTGAAGCCATGCTGCAATGCTCCACCAGGTGAAGGAGCCGTTCGAACTGTCTTCACTGTCAGAAATGTATTTTTTTTTTAAAAGCAAAACATGCAAAGCAACAGAAATCAATCTAGAGGAGATTCTGTCTCCCTTCTTCCACCAAATCCAGGATTTGTTTGCCAGTGAAGTCACTCACCTTGGCAATAAAAGCCCATTGGGTGTAGTCCCTGTTCTCACTCAGTAGTCTAGGAGGGACAGACCACCGTTTTTGGTGTCTCACCAGATGCTCTCTGGGATAAGCTGAAACCAAAACAGCAGCCTGAATCTGTGAAGACAGGAAAGGTCATGTTAAGGTCAAATTTAACAAAAAACTGATGTTCCCTTTAATTTGAAAAAAACTGATCTCTGTTTTATTTGGTTCTTATGCAGAAGAAACAATTTAGTTGCAGCAAAATGAATGAATCATTATAATAATGAAATAATTACACCAGATCTTCTGTAAACTGAACTTTCATATTATTTTGCCGTTGCTGCCGAGCCTGCAGGCCAAAGCAGGATAACCATGGCAGTGCAGGCTGACGCAGGACTAGCTGCTGCTTTCACACCTGTTGTTCAGAATCCACCATTTCATCTTTGGAGGAGAATCAGCAAGAGTGCAAACTGGAGGCTGTTCTTTCTTTCACCCCCCTGATTGACTAAAGCCAGACTTTGTTCACCCCTTCTGCTGAACGTCCAACTGTTTCCCAAACAGGTACGAAGGGAGCAGTTTCAACCCGAGGGCGACGCATTATCAGTCTGACGCTGAAGGATGATAAAAGTCATGTTTTTGAATAATACTGCCTGGACTTTTTAATGAGAACTTTAAAAGATTTACCTCAAAATGAGAGGAACACAGCTTCAGATCGGACTGTGTTCATTTTCAGTCCACCGCTCTCCGTACCCGACTTTCTTAACAATTATTTAACACTTAAATCATTAAGCACCAGAGTATCTACCTTCAAAACAACAAACAGACATTATGTTGATTCTTATTCTAGAGTAAAACAAAATAAAATGGCTTTATTACTTCAGCTAAGGATGAATATAGGGACTGAAAAAGGACACAGTCATTTCTGTGGCATGGTTAGACTAAGAGACCCTTATGGAGAGGCCTGCAAGGGGACGTACAGTTGGAGTAGAGCTAAGAGACTTCAGTGCACAAATTTCTCTCCACTTTTGCAAAATCTTTTGAACCTTACACTGTGTCTGTCTGGTCTTACTTTTTATAGGTTAAAAAGTTAAGCTCAGAGGGTCTTAGGAGCAAATTCCGCCTGAAATTAAATATGTGAATTAAAGCAAGTTCAGCTATAAATTGGAAATTAAATTGTTTGTATTTGTTGAGGAATATTTTAAGGTGGAACCAATATTATAAATGTCAACGTGTTTGATTTATAGGTGATTAAACAAAGAAAAAAAGAAAAAAAAGAAATGAGCTCGCAAATTTTTTTTCTAAAATAAAAACTGCAAAACACTGTGAAAGCTTATTTGAAACTCTGGATGAACCCTCAGACTTTATAGATCAACATCTTGACTATAAATCAATCTAACTTGAACTGAATCTGTTGAAGCATGTTTGTTCCACAAAGGTTTTAGTGGGCAGGGAGCTAGGGAGAAATCGGATTTTTTTTCCCACTCATAAAAGGAAATCTGGTCAAACAAATACCGTAAATNGAGAGTTCAGCTATAAATTGGAAATTTTGGAAAAAGGTGGAACCAATATTATAAATGTCAACGTGTTTGATTTATAGGTGATTAAACAAAGAAAAAAATGAAAAAAAAAAAAAAATGAGCTCGCAAATTTTTTTTTAAAATAAAAACTCCAAAACCCTGTGAATCTTGGGATCTGGAGGTCTGTCCACCTTTCTCCAGCAGAGGGTGTTCTAGGTCTCCTGGAGCTGAAGCTGACTAGCACACCTGCGGCTCGTTTGCTCATCGGGAGACCAGCATTTAAGGAGAGGCAGAGCAACACTCCAATGCCAGAGTGTTTTGCCAGTTATGGTTAGCAAGCCTGAGCCAACCTGCCTGTCCGAATCTCTGACTCCCCTGAAACCTAAACCTGAACCTAATCTGTTTTTGTCCTCTCTGCTTCCTAGGAAGAACCTGTCTGAACCCAGAAACTCTGGAAGAGTTTCTCAGTCTGAAACCAGTTTGTCTGATCTCTGAAGAACCCCGGAAAGTCAATCTGTCAGATACCTGCCTGCCCGCTCTCAGAAGAAACTGAAAGAGAAGCTCAAATCCGAATCTGCAAGATCAGAAACCAAGCTCTGCCTCTGCATAGCCCTCTGCCTGCCTTCAGCCTCTGGACCCTCCTGGTTCCCCTCCTCTGCCGCTCTGCTCAAACCTCAGAACAGGTACAGACCTGCACTCATTCAACCAGCAAACATACCTGGATATCTGCTAACCTTTCTGTCCCCCTCTGCAGAAAAAACCAGTCGTGAATAGTCCTGGACCTGATACCCCCCTGCATCAGTACTTTATTATCATTGTGTTTCAAAATAAACTGTTGAACTTTCTCCCTAAGTCCGTGTGTTCTGCATGTGGGTTAGAAACCCTAAAACAAACATGACAGTGAAAGCTTATTTGAAACTCTGGATGAACCCTCAGACTTTATAGATCTACATCTTGACTATAAATCAATCTAATTTGAACTGAATCTGTTGAAGCATGTTTGTTCCACAAAGGTTTTAGTGGGCAGGGAGCTAGGCAGAAATGAGATTTTTTTCCAGACATAAACAGGAATCTGGTCAGACAAATACCGTGAATCCTCTAATATGGGCCTGTATTCCATTAGCTGCCGGGTCTCTAATAATGGCCGGTCTCGCTCTCGGCAGAGGTAAATAATGTCTGGACTCGTATACAGGCAGGGGCTAAAATTAGAACCAACGATGTTCCTGGGCAGTCCTCAACAACCTGTGATAGTAACATAAAAGTACCACAGGGGGGCAGTGTTCCAAGCCGTTAGCATGGGAAGTCCCGTCCTTACACAGAGATCGTAGTGGCCTTACACAATCGTTCTGATCTGAAACACACATGATCACCGGTAGGTCTGGTGGTAACCAGGCAGCGTAAAATTACAGAATTTCGTTGGCCTTCGTTGTTCTGAATTTCCCTTGAAATATACGATACTGGTAGCCTACTTCCACTTAGCCTGCCTCAAATAAAATGTCGCTGTGATGGCAGAACAGTTTCCATAATTTTTTTTTTACTTTGTTACGCAAGTCAGTTTGGCCAAGATTCCATTCTGCAGAAACATTGCAGCTGCTGGAAGATGTCTGAATAATGTTCTGTATATCGTTATGGTAACTGTACTTATTCAATAAACCTAGTATTGAACCTAGTATTTTATAGGTTCAAAGAGACACAAAATCTCATTGTTATTCATTCCACTGGTAGTCTGTTTTGATCAAATAGAAATAGAGGCCTGCCTCTAATTCTGGCCTCCTTTCAATAATGGCCTGGACCAAGATGTACATCAGTGAAATAAAGGCCCTGGCCTATATTAGAGGATTTACGGTATTCTGATTTCCATTATTGGAGACCTGCATGAGGCAAAGTCTTTGCTCCTAAGATAAGTCATTTCATTGAAATTTACCAATAATATCATCAAACTGAATAGAAAAGAATAACAGTTGGATCCAGTACCGGGCCCGCTGGGCTTAACCAATCACCTCACAGGCCATGAGCCGGCGCACTGGGCTGTGCAGACATAAATATGCACACCCAACCAGTTAGAGTATGGTATAAATATATTCAGGCTGGGTGCGGTGTCTTTTGGTGAAAAATCATGAGATGAGAAAGAGTTTTGTTCTGTACTGGGATTTTTTAGAAAGCATTGGAATACCTTTTGGCGGGAATGAAAGTGAATAATTTAAGTAACTTGATTTTTGTCCAGCTGAGTTTTCTCACTTAAAGAACTGAGATGTAGTTAAAGATGTTGTCTGAGCCCGATAAAGGAAAGTCCGTTTGCTCCAACTTTGTTTGGCTGCAACAACTTTTGGACTAAAGTGGGACAAAATCAGAGCCACCAAACAGCCCAATTTTCAACAATTTCTGGACTAAATCCAGACTATGACTGACCAACCAGATTTAGCCTAATAACCAACGTCTAAATGACGTCTGGTGTTTGGGGGCTGATTTCTCTGTGATTAATGGATTTTATTTTGGATTTTTCCCAAAAGCGAAGTTATCGGGGAAAATCAACAGTTATGTGGTGTATGGTGTGTCTTGGAGGTGGAGACTCAAAGGGAGGTGGGTGTGCACCAAGGAAGTATGTGTGTATAGGTGCGCACTCACCTGTCTCACTGATGAGAAGAGTAAGGGTGGGGCTGCCGTAATTTTGTTTGAGCGCTTCATTTCACTACGCTTCCTCTTATTTTGTTTCAGTATTAATTTGTTTCCTATATTAATTAACGGATCTAACTTTGTTTGCTACAATCATCCCTGCTGCGCTGTCATAATTATTGCTGGTGCTAATAAAGAAAACAAAAGCATCCTGGATTCCAGCGTATCTGTAACAATATGAATGTTTAAGCGCGTCACAAATTAGGCAAGAAAGGAGGACCCGACCCGAACTCTCAGCGGCCAAAAGGATTTGTTTGGAAGCCGCAATACTTTTGTCAAACCTAAACGGCTTTTATGGAAATCATCACCGTGCACAAGTGACAAATAACCAAGTCATCTTTCACTGCAGAACAAGGAAGCCACAGCTAAGGGCCACATCATACATTTCATTCACCTGGAAACAGGTAGGCCAGAGCCTTTCTATGTTTGTGGATGAAGGAATTCGTTTTGATTGCTTTCTGGCAAATGAGAATAATATATTGAATAGGTGCTCCGCTGGATACATTGGCGCACTGATGATTGCGCAAGTTCTCCGTGCTTTATTTAATTGATGATGGGACTTGGTGGCATAAATGTGTGGCGGTTGCTGTTGTTTGAAGGCCTATTGTTTGTTTGAATGCTTGGATCGAAACTTCTCTGCCAATTAATTTAAATGCAATGTCAAATAATTGGATTTGTGCTCTGGAAATGTGATTGTGACGAGCCACACAATAAAATCTAACCAAATGAGTGGAATAAATTCAGCATTTCAATGTTCAAATAAGGAACATGGAAAAAGAGAAATTAAATTGACTGCCAAAGCGTTGGAAAATAAAAGTCTGACAGACTTTCCTTGAATTTCCTTGAACAGTACACTAAAGGGCAAGCAAAAGAGTTGGTAAGGAGTTGTCAGCTCATGGAGTCAGGCCTGGCGTATGCAAAAGCAAAGGCCCTGTTGAAAGATCATTATAGAAATGAGCAAAAGCTGGCTGCAGCATATATGGAGAGAGTTCTGTCATGGACCTCTATTAAGACAGAGGATGTGAGGGCCCTCCAGGAGTACAGCCTCTTTCTGCGTGGATGCTGCAATGCCATGGAAGATGTGCAGTATTTAAATGACCTAGACACACCCACAAACATGTTGGAGATCATCAAAAAACTGCCCTACAAACTCAGAGACCGCTGGAGATGCCATGCATGTGACCTGCAGGAAAAATACAACAGAAGAGCAAGGTTTATGGATATAGCCAGCTTTGTTGAGAAACAGGTGAAAATCTTAACAGACCCAGTTTTTGGAAATATTCAGGACATTACTTCATCAAATAAATGAATAAAACACAAACCTCAGCCTCATTCCAGCATCAAAGGAACCAGCTTTGCTACCACTGTGGATAATATGGAAAGAACAGGCACACCTTTGAACAAATCTAAAGATATAAAACTATGAGCCAAAAAGATTTGTCCCTGCTGCACTAATTGACACACATTGGATATGTGTGCGCGGTTTGAAGAAAAGGCGCACAAGGAGAAAATTGACTTCCTGAAAGCAAATGGTGCTTGTTTTAACTGCTTGTGTATAGGACACATCAGAAAAAAATTGCCAAAGGAAGATTTCCTACGCGAAGTGCAGCCAAAAACACCCAACCGTACTTCATAAGGATAGTGTGGAAAGGACAGAATCGGCTGAGAGAAGTGTTCAGGTGGCTCTGGACAGCACTTTTATTTCCAGTGGACTTACAGGGGCTGGTGAGATGGATTGCAAGCTTCCTATTGTGCCAGTACAAGTAAAAGAAAAGAAAGGCAATAAGATAATTTTCACCTATGCCTCTTTGGACCAGGGAAGTACTGCAGTGTTTTGTACTGAGAGTCTGAGGCAGAAACTAAATTTATCTGGAAAGAAGGCAAACATTCTACTCAGGACTATGGGACAGGAGAAAATGGTCAGTAGTTATGTTGTGCCAGAGCTGGAGGTGGCAGCATTTGAAGATGACACCTTCATCGAGTTGCCAAAAGCATATACTCAGTTGTCAATGCCAGTCCACAAAGTAAACATTCCCAAAAATGAGGATCTGACAAGGTGGCCATATTTAAAACATCTTTACTTACCACAGATTGAAGCTGGAATTGAGCTGCTGATTGGCTCTAATGTCCTACGAGCCATGGAACCGCTGGAAGTCATCCGCAGTGAGCATAATGGACCCTGTGCTGTAAGGACAGTGCTGGGCTGGACAGTAAATGGACCACTAACAGGAAATAGTGGAGAGGCCAATTACTGCGAGCAGGCAGTAACTGTGAACCGTGTGTCCATTGTGAATTTGGATGAACTATGGCAACAGCAATTTAAGATGAATTTTCCAGAGTCTGTTGTTGAGGAACAAGTAGGTCTGTCAAGAGAAGACCTGAGGTTCATGGATATGGTTAGAAAGTCAGCCAAACATATTGATGGTCACTATCAGATCACTCTGCCTTTAAAAAATTCAAACATTAGCATGACCAATAACAGGAAAGTGGCAGAACAACGTTTACACCACTTAAAGAGGAGGTTTCAAAGGGATCCAATGTTCTACATGGAGTATAACACCTTTGTTAATGATCTCCTTTGTAAAGGCTATGCTGAAAGAGTTCCTGGTACAGAGCTGGAAAGAAGTGATGGCAAGGTTTGGTACATACCGCATCACGGGGTCTACCACCCAACAAAAAGAAAACTGAGAGTCGTGTTTGATTGTGGTGCCTGTTTCAATGGACAGTCTCTAAATGAGGAGTTGTTGCAAGGCCCTGATTTAACCAGCTCACTAATTGGAGTTGTGACCAGGTTCAGGAGGGAACCTGTGGTCATTAGGTCATTGGACGACATAGAAGCCATGTTTCATCAGGTGCGAGTGCCACCTGAAGATGCCGACTTGCTATGATTCATATAAAAAGAAAGTGCTTGTTTTGGGTGTTACTTCCTCCCCTAGCTGTGCCAACTTTGCCCTCAAAATATGTGCAAATGATTTTGGACATGGCTACAGAAAGGAGACAGTGGATAAGTTGCAGCACTGTTTCTATGTTGATGACTGTTTGGTGTCAGTTGCAACAGAAGAGGAAGCACTGACCCTCTGTCATGAGCTCACGTCTCTATGTGCTAAAGGTGGGTTCTGTTTGACTAAGTGGTTCAGTAACAGAAGTGAATTGATTCAGACCATCCCAGAACCTCACAGAGCTAAAGGCATGAAGCAGTTGGATCTGGAGTGTGAGTTTATGCCCATTGAAAGAGTGTTGGATTTGGAGTGGTATGTCAAGTTTCTCCCTTTAAATTCACCTTTAAACACCTTTAACACCTTTAAACACCTTTAACACATTTAAATTCAACACCTTTAAATTCAACATTATATAGAAGGAAAGGCCATTCACCCCCAGAGGCATTCTCTCTGCTGTCTCCTCAATTTATGATCCATTGGGTATGCTCTGTCCCTGTCATGAATCCAGTTTGTGTAGTCTGTTTTGTGTCTGTCTCTCCCTCCACCACCAGGTGGCGCCCTGTCATTCTTGGTCTTTCCTGCACACCTTCACTCCAGTTCTTTGGATTATTATCTGGAGGAGTACTTAAGCAGTGGACTGTCCCTACCTTGACGCCAGAGTGTTTGCCAGTTTTGGGTACTCTAGCCAAGCTGAGATTAGCTGAGTCTAACCTGAGTCTAACCTGAGTCTTTGTTTCTCTGAGTCTAACCTTGTTTTTGTCTTTGCCTTTGGCAGGAAGTCCTCCTGCGTACTGGAAGTTTGGTCTTCTTCCCCTGGAAGGATTGTTTTCTGAGTTCACACTAAGCAGGGGAGAAACCTCCACATGTGCTGTTCAAGTCCCTCACAGAAATCCAAGTGACAATCCGCTCCAGTGCTCCTCCGGGTCCAAAGAATGTCTACCTGTCCACTCTTCAACATGTCCCCTCTTCTCTGGATCAACCCACACAGGCTGGATGCAAAGTGAGAGAAGAACCCCCCCAAACGTGAGTCTCTCGCTAGCATTAACTTTGCGGCATCCAAGATTCCCACGGTCCCTGAACTAACCTCTGTGAACTTCCCTTCTTACTTCCAGTTCCGGTTCACCAGCTTTCTGAGTTTCCCTGAATCCAACCCTTTGAACTCCACAGTAAACCTGTTTAACCTTTTGCCTTGCTCTCTGAGTGGTTCTCTGCATTTTGGGTCAGACCTCTAAAACACATCATGACAGTCCCCTTGTTCTGACAGCAAAAAAGATCTTAAGGGATTTGTGCAGAGGAGGAATTGGTTGGGATGACCCCATACCTGAGACTGTCTCCAACAAGTGGCTTAAGTGGATGAAAGGGATTCATCTGCTGGACAATTTTGAATTACATAGATGTCTAAAACCACTGGAGTTTGGAAATGTTGTCAGTGCACAATTACATAATTTCTGTGACGCATGTGAGGATGGCTATGGTGTAGTCACTTACCCGATGATGCATAATGAGCGCCACCAACGGCACTGTGCATTTATAATGGGAAAGGCTTGTGTCGCCCCACTGAAAATGATTACTATTCCAAGGATGAAACTGATTGCTGCAACAATGGCAAGTCGCATGGACTTTCTGTGGAGGAAAGAGCTGCACATGGATGTTCAGGAATCTGTGTTTTGGACAGATAGCACATCTGTGCTATAATAAATTACAAATGAGAGCTCAAGATACAAGGTGTTTGTTGCAAGTTGTGTTTCAGAAATACTGAAATTGTCTGACCCTGCTCAGTGGAGGTATGTGGATACAGCTTCAAATCTAGCAGATGTAGCATCTAGAGGGGTCAAAGTTGAGGCACGTTTGAAAGACAAACTCTGGTTAAGGGGACCTTCTTTTCTTTGCCAACCTGAAACAGACTGGCCTGTGAACCCTGAGCCTGTAAACCATATCTCCCAGGATGATCCACAGGTGAAGAAAAGTGCTGTTGTTAATGCTGTACAAGTTGAGGATTCTACCACTTACTTGATCCATCACTATTCCTCTTGGATACGGTTAAAGAAAGCTGTGGCATGGTGGCTGAAATACAAAGAATGGCTTTGGTCCTGTTTCAAGAAGAGGAAAGAGCTTACAGCCAATCAGAATGAAGTGAACATGCAGCAGCACAGAATGATGGAAAAGGAAATATGCGCGTTCAAACGCACAGCTATCCAAGGATGTCTTACAGTGGAGGACATTGATAAGGCTGAGATAGCCATTATCCGGTTTTGCCAGAGAAGAAAGCTTTCAGATGACTTTTCAAGTCTGGAAAAGGGACAAAATGTAAAGAAAAGTAGCCACCTGTACAAGTTGTGTCCAAGGCTGGAAGATGGAGTCTTGCGTGTGGAAGATCGGCTCAGTAAAGCAGCCGGCCACACCCAGCGCACTCTTACTAAACATGCACCTTTTTACATGAGGGAAAAGGGGATTTTGTTTCAAAAATAGTTTTAAACAAAAAAAATACTTATATGGACTCACCCCAAACAGAATTAACAGCAGAAAGGACATGCTCCGTCGGGTCATAATCACCCAGAAAAGTCCAGTGGTTTCAGAATACAAACTCTGTCCTGTTGCACTTTTTGCCTGTCTGGTCTGAACAGTTTCAGGAAGGAGGCATTACAACATTGGACAGAATCACACACAGCAGCAAAGAGTCGTCACGCCCATATGGTGTGGGGTTACCTGAGGCTGGCGTGGGAGAAAACACCTAACCTGCCAGTTCGTGACTTCTTTAGAAGTCAGCCAATTACAGGTTCCCATCGCACAGGATGGAACACGGAGGATCCATAACAGCCGACAGCCAAATTCCACCGAAACCACATCAGCTTTTTATTTTACCCATCAGCTTTTTATAACCAACACTCTGTGTTTTAATATGTTCCAGATAAAGACTCATTATGCAGGATAAAGACATTATTTTTCCACTGCTGTTCTAATCTTTCTGAGGCCCTAAAACAAACCATGAACTGCAACCTGCCTGAGTGATCAGGGCAGAAAGTTAAGGTGGTTTATAAAGCAGTCAAAAGGATTTAAGGGCCTTGAAATTAGAAAGCTGATTTACTTTATTATCTAAAACAGGAATCCCCAAAGTGGGTCCTGGAGGGCCGCTGGCCTGCAGGATTTAGAAGTTTCTCTGCTTTAGCACAGCTGATTCTTCTTCTTCTTGGATTTATTGGCACTTACTGGTATGGAGTGTAGTTAGTGATGGACTATCTACTAATAAACATATATATAATTTCTAAGAAAAAAAAATGACATACTTATTGTTCTACCCATCTAACTCATGCACACATTCACCCTCTCTATAATCAAATTCTATTAAATAATTTTGTTTTCTTTAAAAATGGAATTATTATTTGTATATGTTTACTCTCCAAATTCTTCCACAAAATATCTAATAAATGAATCTTTTCATTCAAACTCTCTCCTCGTAGATCTTCTCTCTCTTTCATATTGATGACATTCCAGTATAAAAAGTTCTATTGTTTCATATTTTCCACAGTAATTAAATTTTCCAGTAGTTTGCTTTTGATTTTAGAAAAGTGTTTAATTAAGTCTTGTTTGCCCAAATCTTAACCTCATTATCTCTCCCTCCTCCTTTCTATTCTGCTTCCATTTCTTGTTTTTCTTACTATCTTCTGATTTTTATAAAAACTTCTTCCTGTTTTTTCTTCATGCCACCTTTTTGCCATTTTTCCATCAGTTTTTCTTTTATAAAAATCTTTCCCTCTGATTTACTTGTTTTAACTGTAAAACTAACAGGATTATAAGTTGGTCTCTTTGCCATTTTATCTGCCCTCTGGTTTAGAGTTGGCCTCAATTAATAATGCAGAGCTTGAATCTGAACAAATTACTGTTATTAATGGCTTTATGTCTTCTGCCGACTGTAAAGCTAATATTATTGCCAACATTTCCCCTGTTTATCCTGATAATCCATCTGAAATTCCTTTTACTATTTTTATATTGAATTCTGGTATTCTAAAAACTATTCTTATTTTCCTTGTCATTTTTGATAATTTTCCTCTTACATAGGCCCCGGTTGCCAAGGCAACCGTGCCAGCAGAGATTCCTGGACCTCCCCCTAGCACCCAGACTCCTCTTCCAGCTCTGCTGCAGGAAGCCTGAGGTGTTTCAGGAGCCTCCTTCCACAGGGACAGGTGTGAAGGAGGCGTCCAGGAGACATCAGGTACATATGGCCCAGCCACCTCAGCTGACTCCTCTGGATGTGGAGGAGCAGGAGCTCTACTCTGATGACCCAGCTCCTCCCCCTCTCTATAAGGGAGAGCCCAGCCTCCCTGTAGTGGAAGCTTGGATCCAAGATCTGGTTCTTCGGGTCCTTATCCAGATGGCAGGACAACATATGAGGAAATGAGCAAAGATGGACTGATAAGCATTAAGCTTTGGCTTCTGGCTCGTCTCTCTCTTCCCCACACCAGAGCGGCCCATTAATGTGTACCACATGTTTTGTTGCACCGAGCCACACCAATCCATCTGTTGATCTCCCACTCAATTCTCCCTTCACTCATAGACCAAAAAAAATAGTGCCCTGAGGAAATTTCCTTTTTTTCCGTTTAAGATCCATGGTTTCAGACTTGAAGGATGTCATGTTCTTTCAAAGGGATCTGACCCACATGCAGGAAACCACTCAGAACCAAAGAAAAGATTTAACAGGTTTATTGAAAGCTCGATGAGTTGGATCCAGTGTTACTCAGAACGCTGGTGAACCGGAACTGGACGTGAGAAGGGAAATTCTGAGTTTAGTTCAGGCTCAGTGGGAACCTTGAACAACGACTTGCAAAAACAAAAACTGAAACGGGACTCACGTTTCCAGAAACAGGTGTCCTTCTCAGAATGCGTGGGTTGTTCCAGAACTTGGTTGACACGTTGGAGGGTGGACAGGGTTTACTCAGGTTTGGTTGGTTCCTTTATGAGCGATGGAGCTGACTGCCACTCAAATTTCCTGAAGTACTTGAACGGTTCGTGTGGATAGTTATCCCCTGCTCAGTGTGAGTTCAAACAATCCTTTCAGGGGGAGAAGGTCCAAACATCCAGTTAGCATCCCCTGCTCAGTGTGAAGCTCAAACAATCCTTCCAGGGGGAGAAGGCCAAAACATCCAGTTTGTAGGATGACTTCCTGCCGAGAGGCAAAGACAAAAAACAACAAGGTTAGGGCTCAGGGAGACAAAGACTCACTTAGACTCTGCTAAACGAACAGATGCATCTACTGTCCTGTGATTTTTGGTTATTTGGGGATATTTGAGAGCTCTTGAACGCAGCACAGGGTCCAGAAAAACACCCCCCTCTCCTCATCTGTCTGCGCTCATAGAAAAATGACTCTCCCTCTGCTGGGACCACGCTCTGTTTGGTGAAGGTTTCTGTCAGTCAGGGGGAGTTTCTAATGTGTTGGATCTGATTGGTTGGATACTCTAGTCCCCTATCCTCTGGTTTCCATTCGATCATTCTTTGTTTTCTAGTTATTGGTCTTGTTTCCCTTTTGCTTCATTTTAATTTCTTTTTTAGTTTTAGTTCAGCTCTGTATGTTGCCCCTCCCCTTCCCCTTTAGCTGCCTGTGTCCGCACCTGCTCCCAGTTAGCTGATCACTCCATTCATTGTTCTCTCCCATATATACTCCTCCTCTGCAGTTCCTGGATCCTCCTCACTCCTCATGTACAGTTCTCCCTGGTGTCTCCTAGTTTTGGTTCCCTGTTTTTTTACTTCTGAATTTGTGCTTCTGTTGCTATCTACCTCTAAATTAAATCTGCAATAAATCCTATCTGTCTCTTCATCTCTTCATTGGGGTCCTCAGACAATTTCCTTTAAACTTGATGAATGTTGGCAATCAGCTGGCATCCCAGGAAGGCCGAAGGAGGTCTGGTTTGTAGACCAGCAGATTTCATCTCTGCTTTTTGCAATTGAAACGGCTCTGCTGGCTCCATCGTGCCCAGACCACAGTTCGCGTGCACTTTGAGAAATGACCTGGATGAAGATCAGCTCTTCAATGTTTCTAACCATGAAACCATGAAACGTGGCTTTCCCTCTTCAGTGGATAAGTCCACGTATCTTGGGGTCCTGTGCAGAAGTGATGGGAGATCATCAGAAGGATTGGTGTGGCTGCTGTAATCATTGTGCAGTGATTAATATCCAGTGATGTCTTCAACATCAGGGCAGACCTTGACTGACTTGACTTTGACTTGACTAGACTGAACAGTAATCTTAACTTTAATACTCGGACTGAATCAGTAGTTAACTAAACCTTCTCCTTCAGAGAGCCCCGGCTTGTAAACTGATCTTGTCATTTTGTGCTTTTATTTTATTCCAAACAATTTGGATAAAGCCATACCATATACGCTCAACATTTGTTTACAGCAGCTCCAAACTTCCCACCGCTCACCGTTTGGTGCGATAAGTTAAGGGCTCTTTTCTTTTAGCAACATTTCACTGGCTGAAGGTTGGTTTATGTTGATTTTTAAATGATCTAATTGCTTTCCCACCATTATCGGGCTGGTGGGTAAATCTTGTTAATTTAGGCCTAAAGTTAGTGGAGTTCAGTTAATCCTGTGAAGTTTTATGCCCTGCAGAGCAATGAAGCTGTATGTATTATGTAGCTTTTTTTTATTGACATTTCCCCTTTACTGATTTTATCTTCTTACGTTTCAAAGAACTTGCTCTCGGAGCGTGTAAAGCACCTTGGCCATCTGACTTGGGTTAAGAGTGTTGTTGAAATACAGTTGAGTTCAGTTAATCCTGTGAAGGTTTACGCCCTGCAGAGCAATGTAGTCCAACCGTCTGAGAGAACTAATGAAAACCGCAGCCATAATAAACAAGCAGTGTTTTGTACACACCTCTTCCCAACTATGACTCACCTTCCAGAGAAACCAGGCAAGTTTCAAACATGTTTTGATTCTGATCAAATAAAGATAAAAGTGTCTGTTAAACTTTTATTCCAGCAGACCAGCTTGAACACATAATTAAAACATAATAAATATAAAGTTAGCTTAGGGAATGCGTGTTAAACATGAACTAACCATCTAAGAGTATTCAGAACTGAAGAGTAGAAGAGAAACAGGCTAGATGGCCTAATAAAAATGAAACCAGACTCTCTGTCTGAATTATGAATCATAATGAAAGTTCAGTGAGACACTCGATTCAGAAATTAACATCAGGAGAAACAGGCATTCAGAGAGGAAAACATTATGATATAATGTAAAGAAAATATTTGGATGTTTATAAAAAGGGAGATAAGCTTTTG